GACCTGACCAATCCTCAAGCGAGACAGGGAGGGGAGGTGGGCGGGGCAGAAAGGGCCCATCACGTGGCCGTGGCCGGGCAGAGGGTTTTCGGGGAGTGGGCAATCCAGGGACAGGCCTTGGAACAGGGTCTTGGCGTTTGAAAGCTGGAGAGGGGGCGGGGAAGGTAGAGCACATGGGGCTGAACCTGGAGATGCGAGGAGGAGGATCTGACCTATCAGAAGGCGGGGTTGAAGTAGGTGTGAAACAAGGCCTGCAGGGGGCGGGGCTTAGGTGCAGGTTCACAACAGAGCAGGCCGACAGAAAAATTGGGGGGAGGACTCGAACTTGGGAAGCGAAGGAGGGCCTGCCAATGGGGACCCTGTGGGGCTGGCAGTGACCCATTGACCAATCGGGAAGGATGGTATGCTGGTGAGCTCAAGGCAGGGGGATGAGATAGGAGAAACGGATTTCAAAGGAGCTCAGGATTGTGAGAGGTGGCTCTAAGGTATGGCCTACAGAAAGGGTCTTTATATTATGGGCTGGGGAGGGGCAGGAAAGGCAGGGCGCCTGAATGAGGCTGGGCCAGGACTCAGCCCCCCACCCCCACCCCCGGGAAATTCAGTGCAGGGGCTGGGCTTTGGAAGAGAAGGCACAGAGCCTCATTCAGGCTTCCTGGAAGGGAACCTCCCCAGCCACACCAGGTAAGATCTTCTGACGTGGATTCTCCTCCCAGGTCCTGGAATGCCATCTAGGGCATAGGATTCTCTGGAGTCCTCGAAGCAGATGCTATTGACGGGTCCGTAGTAACGCAGTCGGAGAAGTAGGCATCTAATAGGAATATCCCAGTGTAGGGGCCCAGCCCTGGCCGGGTCTTTCCTGAACCCTTCCTCCTCCCCTCACAGTTTCTCGCTCGTCTCAACGGCTCCAGCCCGGTGCCTGTACCCCCGCCTCGGACACCTTTCGATGATCCCTTCTTTGTCGTGGAAACACTGTGTATCTGTTGGTTCTCCTTCGAGCTGCTGGTGCGCCTGGTGGCCTCCCCGAGCAAGGCGGCCTTCTTCAAGAACGTGATGAACCTCATCGATTTTGTGGCCATCATGCCTTACTTTGTGGCACTGGGCACGGAGCTGGCCCGCCAGCGGGGGGTCGCGCAGCCGGCCATGTCGCTGGCCATCCTGCGAGTCATCCGCTTGGTGCGCGTCTTCCGCATCTTCAAGCTTTCCCGCCACTCCAAGGGCCTGCAGATCTTGGGGCAGACGCTGCGGGCCTCCATGCGGGAGCTGGGCCTCCTCATCTTCTTCCTATTCATCGGGGTGGTCCTCTTCTCCAGCGCCGTCTACTTTGCCGAGGTCGACCGGCCGGACACCTATTTCACCAGCATCCCCGAGTCCTTCTGGTGGGCAGTGGTCACCATGACCACCGTCGGCTACGGAGACATGGCGCCGGTCACTGTGGGCGGCAAGATCGTGGGCTCCCTGTGCGCCATCGCTGGCGTGCTGACCATTTCCCTGCCCGTGCCTGTCATTGTCTCCAACTTCAGCTACTTTTACCACCGGGAGACGGAGGGCGAAGAGGAAGGCATGTACAGCCATGTGGACACACAGCCCTGTGGCACCCTAGAGGGCAAGGTCAATGGTGGGTTGGTGGATGGAGAGGTGCCTGAGCTGCCACCTCCACTCTGGTCCCCTCCAGGGAAACACCTGGTCACTGAAGTGTGAAGGGTGGGAGACGGGAGGGGGGGAAGAGTTGAGGTCTGCAGGACCTCACCCCTCTTGAAGGGAGGGAGGAAAGAGACGAGGGAAAAGCCAGCGGGCGGGTTGGGCTTAGGAAGAACTAGGTTAGGTTGGTGTCGAGCAGGAGGGGGGCACCCAGATTGTGCTTGGGTCTTGAGTGTGCACTTGGTCGTCCTCAAGGGGAGCGCCTGTAAGTGACAACACATGACAACCGGTGGTTTCGAGCCGAGGCGTGACACCGCTGTCCAGTGGGGCTCAGTGCTTTGTCTTTCACCGGGTTAGGCAAGGCTTGTGGGGCTAGTCTGAGATACCTGTGGTCATCATTAGATGGTGGCATGGGTCTCCTAGGTCCAGGTTGGCTTGGCTTGTGCGCCCAACCAAGTGAGTCTCCTCAAACTACACTGTGTAGGATGCTGTGGTTTTGTGAGTCCCCTAGGGACATCTTAGCTGGCCACCCATATGACACCATTGGGACTGATTGCACGGTCGTGCATGGTGCTGTTGAGTTGGGTCGACGATGTGTTGGGCCTTGTGTGGCTCTGTGACGCTCCGTGGGCTCTGAGAAGAGACAGGTCGACGCAGGACGAGGCAAGTGACAGGGCAGCCGCTTGCCAGATCACCCTGGACTAAGTGGGGTTGGCAGGTGTGTCCATAGGAGTGTCTTAGGGCTCTCTCGGGTGGAGTCCTGTAGATGTGGGTGGCTGGAAGGCTTGCAGGGCCCCTTCACATGGTGCTGCGTGAAGCTGCGAGACCACAGGAGTCTTTGTAGGGCCGGTTCTGCTGGGTTGGATGACTGGGTTGAATCCCATTGAGTTGCCTCCTTTTGTGAGTCCCAGAGGGATGCTGGGTAGAGTTGCAGTGTATGTGGGAGACCTGGAGGGCCGTATTGGACTGTATGGGGCTTAGGGGTACTGAGAGTAAGCGGTTAGGGAGCAGGGAGCAGGCACGGTGTTGTGGGCCCTGGAAAGACGTCCCAGCTGTCTTGAGCAGTGTTTCAGGGTTGGCTTTAGTGCCTGTGAAGTCGGTGGTTCATTGAGAGGGGCTCTGGGAGGCATGGACACATCTTTTATTCACCCACGCCTGCTTGCTTTTGCCCCTTCTCCAGCTGTCCTTCTCTGCACTTTGGTCTCTGGCGTGGAGAAGGGAGGGAAAGGGGAGAGGGAGAGGTGAGAACATGTCAGTACTCTGTCCAGACGTCACGGAAGCACCAAAACCCACAGGAGGCGCAAAGAGCCACAAAGACAAGGAGAGGGAGGGAGGATCGAAATTCCAAGAGGAGAAGGGGACCCAGAGAGAGGAAGACAGAGACCCAGAGGTG